CCAGGCAGTCGAGGGTGCAGTCAGCAATGATTGCACCATTGCACTCCAGCCTAAGTGGCAGAATAAGACTCTGTCTCAAAAAAACAAAAAAGACAAAAACAAAAAAACAAAATTTTTATGGCTATGATACACTTTAGTGAGACAAAAGGACTCAAAGCCTACCTACCTGCCGAGTGTCACTTCTAGTGGAAAAGCTACTCAAACTGTAGAACAGATCTTAGAAAGAAGTGTAATGATGATTCATATTTGAACCACTATGCTTTCATGTCTTAAGGTCTAGTTATTGCAAAATTACAGGTTCAAAATAGCTGATATAAATTTACATTACTGCCTACTCTAGAATTAAACAAGCAACCCACAACAGCAATCGTATCCTGATGAAGTTACTCCAAAGTACTTGATACTTAAAATTGCTAGAAAATGTTGCCTTTCATTTCATTTTATAAGAGCCAAATGTCCCCTTGCCAGCAATGCTTCATAAGAAACCTGCGACAAATACATGCATTTTCCTTCAAAACACAGATTAAAAGCTTAAAAGAAAAAACAAGCACTATAAATAAAGGCAGATATACCATACCTTATTTTATAAATTAATATATGCTTAAAATTTATTGATAAAACGTAGATCCGTTCTTATTTTCTCAGTATCATTCTGTGAACCCAAAAGTATCTGAGACAGATCTCAATCAATTTAGAAATTTTATTTTACCAAGGTTAAGGACATGCCTACGACATGGCCTTAGGTGGTAACTGCCCAAGTTGGTCAAATACAGCTTGATTTTATACATTTTAGGGAGACATGAGACATCAGTCAATACATGTAAGATGTACATTGGTTCAGTCCGGAAAGGTGGGACAACTCAAAGTGGGGAGGGGGCTTCCAGGTCATAGGTAGATTTTAAAGTTTTCTGATTGTCGATTGGTTGAAGTAATTATTGTCAATAGAAAGGAATGTATGAGCTATGATAAGGTGTTGTTGAGACCAAGGTTTTATCATGCTGCTGAAATCTCTAGGTAGTAGGCTTCAGAAAGAATAGATTGCAAATGTTTCTTATCAGATTTAAAGAGTCTGTTCTACCAGTAATTCCAAAAAGGAGGAGGGTATAATGAGGCATGTCTGGCTCCCACTTCCCATCATGGCCTGAACTAGGTTTTTCAGGTTTACTTTGGAATGCCCTTGGCCAAGAGGAGAGTCCATTCAGATGGTTAGGAGGGCTTAAAATTCTACTTTCGGTTTATAATTTAAAATGGAATTCAAGGAAGGAAAATACAGCTTAGTAGGAAAACAAGCTCACTTATGAATGTATCAACCTTTGAAAGCATATTCCTTAAGGAATATGCTATTTCTTGTTTAAAATGTTAACATTCTGCCAGAAGTGGTGGCTCAGGCCTGTAATCCCAACACTTTGGGAGGCTGAGGCAGGAGGACTGCTTGAGCCCAGGAGTTTGAGGCTAGCCTGGAAAACGTAGGGAGACCCTTATCCCTACAAAAAAAAATTTAAAAAATTAGTTGGGCATGGTAATGCATGCCTGTGATCCCAGCTACTCAGGAGGCTGAGGTGGGAGGATGGCTTGAGCCTGGAAGCTGGAGCCTGCAGTGAGCTATGATCATGTCACTGTACTCTAGCCTGGGCAACAGTGAGACCCTTTCTCTAAAAATAAAAAATGAAATAAAATGTTAACATTCATATAAGCTAAGTACAATACAATCAATCTGGCAGGTATTTCTTAGATTTAGAAAAATATTCTAGATTCAAAGGAAAAACCATCATCGATAAATCATTTGAACTCAATGATGTGGACTGCAGTTTCTGTTAATACTGTCTCCCCAATGTTGCAGAGCTAGTAATATATATATTGGGTTGCCAAAACTGTATATCCTGATGTGTTGGGAGTATATCTGGTTTTTACAAATGATTTTTTATTGTCGTTATTTTATTTTTATTTTATAGACAGGGCCTCACTCTGTTGCCCAGGCTGGAGTACAGTGGTGTGATCATTGCTCACTGCAGCCTCCATCTCCTGGGCTCAAAGAATCCTCCTGTATCAGCCTCCAAGTAGCTGGGACTACAGGCTCAAGCCACCATGCCCAGCTCTATTGTTGTTGTTTTTTAAGCAAAAGAAATATAGAAAAACACACAGTACTCAAGAAATCAAATTAAGCATTAAAAAAAAATTCCTGAAAGTCATCATATATATTTTTAGTGATTTCCCTGAATTTTAATGTCAAAAATTAGTCTTTTAGTGTACACATTTCTAAAAGAAAAGGCAAAATATGGCCAGGTATGGTAGCTTATGCCTGTAATCTCAGCATTTTGGGAAGCTGAGATGGGTGGATGGGTTGACACAGGAGTTCCAGACCAGCCTGGGTAACACAGCGAGACCATGTACCTACCAAAAAAAATCCCCCAAAATTGGCCGGGCATGGTGGCACACACCTGTAATTCCAGTTATTTGGTGGGCTGAGGTGGGAGGATCGCTGCAGCCCAGGAGGTTGAGGCTTCAGTGAGCCAGGTTCATGTTACCATACTCCAGCCTGAGTGAAATCGAGACCCTGTCTCAAACAAACAAACAAAACAAAAGATAAAATATATACAGTTTATTTGGTGCCTACCTGACTCTCATTTTCGCAGGTTTTGTTTGTTTTTTGTTTGTTTTAGGTTCCGCCCAAGGAACCTGGTCTTTCTCAGCATATCAACTCTCTATGCACCCAGTCTCTCAACCCAGGGAATCTACTTGTTGTCCACTCACCTTCTCTTAACACCCTGCCCACCCTCATCCCTCAAGTGCTCCTCTTTTCCTTGGTTAAAAATATCTGTGATGCAAAAATCTAAGAATACATGAAACCTAGGCTGGAAGAGGAACAAGGAATTTTTCTTAAGGAAAGCTAAGCGGGTTCACATAATTAAAAGCTGGGAGAAGAAAAGGAAGTGAGAAAAATAAAAAAAGAAAGGGAAAGGAGGAGGAAGGGAAGTAGGGAGGCCAGAGAAATTGACCTGGGTATTACAGGGAGAGACTATCTTTCTTGATTAGGAGGTATGTGTGGTTGGAGGGCCTTTGGAGCCAGTGAGATGGTAGAAAATTGTGAAAAGAGGAGGATTGAAGAATTATTTCTGGGATATATTTACTGGATAACTGTAAAAATTTTTTATTTTTATTATTTTTAGAGATAGGCTTTAATTCTGTTGCCCACATTGAGTGCAGTGGCGTGATCAAGCTCACTGCTGTCTTGAACTCCTGAGTTCAAGTAGCTCTTCTGCCTTAGCATCCTGAGTAGCTGGGACTACAGATGCAAGCCACCACACTCAGTTAATTTTTAAAATTTTTGTATAGGGCTGGGGTCTTACTATATTGCCAAGGCTGGTCTGGAACTACTGGCCTCAAGTGATCCTCCCACCTCGGCCTCTCAAAGTGCTGGGATTACAGGCATGAGTCACCACACCCAGACAGCAATGGATGACTTTGAATGTTTTAGAGTCTAGGCAAGGTTAAAGGATGGGAAATAGTTTTAAAAACTAATATTGGCGCCGCCATGGAGGCTCACATCTGTAATCCCAGCACTTTGGGAAGCTGAGGCAGGAAGATTGCTTGAGGTCAAGCATTTGAGACCAGCCTGGGAAACATAGGGAGACTCTGTCTCTACAATAAAATAAATAAAATTAGCTAGGTGTGGTGGTACACACCTGTGGTCTCAGTTACTCTGGAAGCTGAAATGGGAAGATTGCTCAAGCTCAGGAGGTCTAGGTTGCAGTGAGCTGTGATAGTGTCACTGCACTCCAGCCTGGGTCTCAAGACCCTGTCTCAAAAACAAACAAACAAAAAACATAACAAAAAGCAAAAAACAAACTAATATTGGTTGATTCAAGGATGCCGCTTTGTTTTTTTTGTTTGTTTGGGTTTTTTTTTTTTTTTTTCCGAGACAGAGTCTCACTCTGTCCCCCAGGCTGGAGTGCAGTGGTACGATTTCGGCTCACTGCAACCTCCACCTCCTGCGTTCAAGCGATTCTTGTGCCTCAACCTCCTGAGTGGCTGGGATTACAGCTGTCCACCACCACATCTGGCTAATTTTTGTATTTTTATAGAGATGGGGTTCCACCATGTTGACCAGGTTGGTCTCGAACCCCTGACCTCAGGTGATCCACCCGCCTTGACCTCCCAAAGTGCTTGGGATTACAGACGTGAGCCACTGCATCCGGCCAAGGATGCTTCTTTGAATTTGCCTCTGTGCCACAAGCAGTACTCTGGGCCCTTAGGCCCAGCAGGAGCAGCCCTGAGCATAGCGGGGCCTTGCTCTGAACTTTCTCCACTGTAGCCTCTGGATAGGGAGATGCAGCTCAGGTGCCATGCCCTACCCAACAGTCACATGGCCCCTGTTTAGATCAAACTTCAAAGTACGCAGCACCCCTGACTTCCCTGCCAAATGGCCTCAGGTTGATTTACAGGCCTTGCTCCAGCTTCTTCCTGGGGGCCCTCTTCTTAAGAGCAGATGGTGCAGTCAGGCATGCACCCAAGACCCTAGAGGGTGATGCACAGCTCAGAGCTCCTGTGGGTTGGAGGGCTGGAGGTGCAGCACATGATCCTTCATTGCGGAGGAAGAGGAGTGCCTCATGCTGTCACCCCCGGCTTGTCATGCTAAGGAGAATTAGAAACTGAAACCTGGCCTTCCACACATCCTAAAGATATGTTTATCTAGGTAGAAAGATCGAACATAATCTATTTAGCAGCATGTTAACTTGGTTTGTGTTTACATATTTAGTCATATGGTATGTGGGCCTCCACCCATACTTGTGCCTTGGACCCACAAATAACAGGGACAGCCATGCACTTGACCAAACAGAACCATGTGCCTCCGAGATGCCTAAGGATTATCCTTAAAGACAGAAGCTAGAGTGTAACTTTTCTGATATGTTTCATCTGTTCAGAAGTCCCCTTGAGGAAGCACTGTAGTCTCTAGTCTGACTGACGGACCTGCTGCCAAACCCCACCTCCGCGCCTCTTACCTGCCTGATCTCGGGCAAGCTTCTTCAGCTGTCTTAAGATTCATCGGAAAACTGGTTGTAACAGGATTAAGTGAGAACACCCTTGGCTCACTTAGGCGTGACAGCTCACACCTGTAATCCCAACACTTTGGGAATCGAGGTGGAAGGATCCCCTTGACACCGGAAGTTCAAGACCAGCCCAGGCAACCTACAACATTGCAAGATGCTGTCTGCAAAAAAAATACAAAAGAAAAAGAAAAAAAGATAACATCCTTGAGGCACATTTTGCACCATGCCTGGTATACAGCAGGTATCCATGAAAGTGGCGTTTAAATCCACTTCTGTCTTTGACCTATTTCCATATTCACATTTTAGGCTAAAGATTGTAGAATCATTGAGCCGAAGGAATATGTGGTCACTTCATAGAATATTCTATTTAGGAGAACAAACTTTGGAGTCAAAGAGACCAGGGTGCTCTTCTCCCTTCATCCCTGACCAGGACCAGGTGGGTCGTGAGGGGTAGTCACTTATCTCAGCAATCTCACTTGTAAGACGGCAGTAATAGCAGTAACTAAATCACTGTACCATTATAAGGATAAAATGAGAAAACTACACAAAAATGTCACCCACCAAGTTGATGATTTTCTCCAAGTGTTGTGCCTCAAACTTACATTGAACTTCATTCTATTTTAAATTATTTCTCTGATTTACTGAGATTCTGAATGTTGCTGAGTGAAAGTGAAATTTTATTGGCCCGGTGTGGTGGCACCTGCCTGTGGTCCCAGCTCCTCAGGGCAGGCTGAGGTGGGAAGACTGCGTGAGCCTGAGAGTTCAGGTTGTAGTAAGCCATTATCACGCCACTGCACTGCAGCTTGGGAGACAGAACGAGAATCTGTCTCAAAAACAAAAAAAGGTGAAATTTGTAATTATTTGGTACATTTAGAATTATTTTTAAAAATTTTTCTGCATTAAGGGAAAAACAAATACTTTTTTCCTTTCTACTCACCTGCTCAATGAAACATAGAACACAGTTCTGTGACCAGACATAGGTTTTTCCCAACACACCAACCAACTGGGTGTCCTATAATTCAATTCAATTCTGACACTATCTACCTAGAGGCAGTGTCAGAGCCCACAGGGTGAGGTCTCAGTCCCCAAAGACAACCGCTTCTTTAGAATCTCAAGTACAGGCCACCCATTCTGACTCAATTGCCACAAACCAGAGCTCCAACAGTCCCCACTTGGGTTCAACTAACTTGCTAGGACAGCTCCCAGAACTCAGAGAAACACTTGGGTTTACCAGTTTCTTATAAAGGATATTACCAAGCATACAGATGAAGAGATGCAGAGGGTGAGTTTTGGAGGAGAGAAAGCAGAGCTTCCATTGTCCCAGAGTTTTTATGGAGTTTAATCTCCAGTGCCCCTGATGACCCTTTTGCTGGAGGTTGGTGGGAGGGGCCGAATGTTCTTATACTTTACAGTTGGTGGGAGCAGCTGAATGTTCTGATACTTTAGTCCTCTAATCACTTGTTCTTTCTAGTGACTGATTAGCCCCATCTTGAAGCTATCTAAGGACCCCGTCATAAGTCACCTCATTAGCATAAACTCAGGTGTGATCAAAAGTGCTTGGGGGGGCCAGGCAAAGTGGCTTATGCCTGTAACCCCAGTATTATGGGAGGCCGAGGTGAGATGATCGCTTGAGCCTAGGAGTTCAAGACCAGCCTGGGCAACATGGTGAGACCTTGTCTCTAAAAAAATAAAAAAATTAAAATAAATAAATAAATAAAATTAGCCAGGTGTGGTGATGTGCACCTGTTGTCCCAGCTACTTGGCAGGTTTAGGTGGGAAGATCACTTAAGCCTGGGAGTTCCAGGCTGCAGGGAGCTGTTTGTGCCACTGCACTCCAGCCTGAGTGGCAGAGCAAGACCCTGTCTCAAAAAACACCCAGCAGTGGTGAGTTTCCTATCACTCAGGAAATTCGGAGGTGTTCAACAACTTTCTACAAGCACCAAATATTCTAACAGAAGATGCACCTATCACCATTATCGCTTGGGCAATTACAAGGCATTTAGGCGCTCCATGTCAGGAACTGGGGACAAAGCTGAAATGTATTTCACATTATACCAGTTTGTCTCGTTGTGCGACTGATTTTATTTTTCACTGGAGAGAGTTGTGTTAGCTTCGGCTTTGATTCCATTTGTATGGCTGGTGCTCACCTTTCGGACTTGGGCCTTCAAATGTAAAATGCAATTATCACCCACACAAAATCGTACAACTATTGTGTTGTTTCTGGCACTTTCTTTCTTTTCTTTCATGTCAGACAGCTAATGTGCTGATGTCATAACAAGGTTCAAGGGTGGTAGGTCTCTTTCTTTTTTTTTTCTTAGACAGAGTCTAGCTCTGTTGCCCAGGCTGGAGTACAGTGATGAGATCATGGCTCACTGCAACCTCCACCTCCTGGGTCAAGGTATCCTCCCACTTCTGCCTCCTATATAGCTGGGACCACAGGTGCATACCATCACGTCTGGCTAATTTTTATATCCTTTGTAGAGACAAGTTCTCAGTTTGTTGCCGAGGCTGGGCTCAAACTCCTGGGCTCAAGCCATCCTCCTGCCTCAGCCTCCCACAGTGCAGGGATTACAGGTGGGAGCCACTACACCTGCCAGGGTGGCACATCTCACACATGTGCGTGAATACCCAGTCATTCATGCTTATGAACTACCAAAGGATCTCTGGCACTTTTTAAAAAGCCCAATAAGACAATTTCAATTGAAGTCACAGTAAAATGTGACAAAAGATCTGAGAAATGTGCCTACTGGAGTCTCTGAACTGTTTCTTGACCGTGGCACACATCTCTCCCTTTCTTCCTAGAGAAGCACTTGACGAAGAGAGGTGAGCCCAGGTCACTCATAGACACAGCCACATGGAGCTCGACTCTGCCTTGGCAGCAGACATGCAGAGTCCAAGGCCAAGAGCAACGGGAATAGGGACTGACGTGACATTTGGATTGGGACTGGTACAGTTTGGAGAGATTAAGGGCCAGATACTCAGATTCACTTTCTTCCCCTCTTCCAAGGGCGTTATTTAGTAGTCTGTTTAGCACTTGCTTGCTCTAATAATAGCCATGGGCCTGAATCACCCTCGTCACTGAGTATTACATGGAATCCTCAGCTGTTTCTATGACTTGCATGGTTGGTGTTCAGCACTATCTGGAAACCTCTAAGAATGTGCAGAGTAATCAGTGATTTTAATTTTAGCTATGCGTGACGTGAGGGATCTTCTATGTATTTCTACTGACCTGTCTTTAAAACACGTTGTATAATGATGAGAGAAATTCCACAGAAAAACTTCAATATGAATCCCTACACAATACACATGTAAGTATATACAAATGTGACTTAAATATATTAATAGAAAATGTACATTACTATTATTACTGCTATACATACGATCAATTTTCGGATGTAATCGAGACAGATACCTGTATAAATGAGAACTTATTCAGTGGGTTTCTGGGGTACTAAGAATATTCAGTTTCTTGTTCTGGGTGCCAGCTCCATAAATACATTCAGTGTGTGAAAATTCACTGGAACAAAGACTTACAATATATGCCCTTTTCTGTGTTACGTTATACTTCCACAAGGAGTTTTAAACATTTACTATGTAATTTAAGTTTTTTGAGGAAAAACTTGAGCAACTGCAACAGTATACCATATACATATGACAATCCATATTTGAGCTATATCCAAGATCAAACGATTTTTGAAACTATCGCAAAGTACGATAGACCTAAATCTCCCATTTAAAGGGGACTCTATTTTTTATCTTTCCCAACCTTCCCTCCAAAAACAAAAATAACATTTGTCATCTCACAATTACAGAGATGTAACAAATCGAGTTTCAAAATAATCCTCTCTTTAGTCATATGTATTTTGTTGTACAATTCCACATGTTTTGGAAAGTGTGGGAAACTAGGCTCTCTAATTCACTGTTGATGGAGTACAAATTAGTATAAACTCCTCACAGATCAATTTGGAGCTCTCTATAAAAATGTAAAATGTTCATGAATTTGATCAAGCAACTATACTTAAGAATTATTTTATATCATTGGAAGTGAAGTCATCGAAAATAATAATAATAAGAAGAATTATCCCAGAAAGACACTGAGAAATCTGTAGCATTTTTGTTATTTAGTCATTCATACGCTCAACATTCAGCTGACATATATTTATTGAGTACCTGCTGTGTGGGGGGCTGGGTTCTGGGGACATACTACTGGTGACCAAGACAGCTGCAGTCCCAGCTTTGGAGGACTCTTAGAATGTCTATATGCCAGTTGGAAACATAATTATCAAAATATGAATCACACAATTTTTGACTATTACACGTTTAATTTAAAATTACAAAGCCTCTAATCCCAGCACTTCAGGAAGCCAAAAAAAGGAGGATCACTTGAGTTCAGGAATTCGAGGCCAGCCTGTATATCAGAGTGAGACCCCCTCTCTACAAAAAAATAAAAGGCTGAAGTGGGAGGATCACTTGAGCCCAAGAGACTGAGGCTGCAGTGAGCTGTGATCGCACCACTGCACTCCAACCTGAGTGACAGAAAAAGGCCTAGATTCCAAAAAATAAAAAATAATAAAATAAAATAAAATTACAAAAGAAACCAATGACAAAATATTCAAATGATTTTAATTATTATCCCATTTCAATGAAGAAGTATGTATAGAACACATATAGAGAAAATTTAGAAGACATTAATAGGGATATTATCTCTGGATGGGATTATGAAGTACTATCACTTAGGATACTTATTTCTTACTTAAATTAGAGGGAGAGTCTTGCTATGTTGCTCAGGCTGGAGTGCCATGGTTATTCACAGGCTTCATCCTTGAACTTCTGGGCTCAAGCATCCTCCTGCCTCAGCCTCCCAAGTAGCTGGGACTATAGGTGTGTACCACTATGCCCGGTTTAAAATGTTGGAATTTTTAACGATTACTTATAATTTTGTGGCTGGATATATATGTACATAGCACATTTCTAATTGTCTTTTTTTTTTTTTTCAATTGAGATAGAGTCTCACTCACAGGTTGCCCAGGCTGGAGTGCAGTGGTGAAATCATAGCTCACTGCAACCCATAGTTCCTGGCCTCAAGCGATCCTCCTGCCTCACCATCCCTAATAGCTGGAATTACCAAGCTATTTGTTTTATTATTTTAATTTCT